TCAAATCTTGTGCGAGATAATGATTAGGAGGAATAAGGAGACCTTTTAACGTGTGATTCTTAGCACATCTTCATCTGCTTGCTCACTTTAAAATTCGGACTGTAGTTCAACCTTATAAAAAAGTTCAAATTTACCATGCCCAAATAAAAATTAGTGAGAAATGAAGTGATGCAGAATAAAAATTGTGATGACTCCTATAAGTAATACTTTTTTGAAGCCACTGTATTTTTTGTCTTGAAACTCGCTTTCAATTTTTCATTTCAAAAATTGAAATTGACACGTAATTTGAAAAATTTTGACGAAAACAAATTTCACTGAGTAAATCTAATGCTTCAGAAAACAACCTCAACAAAAGAGGGGCGTTGTTACTAGATATTAGAAATGCGGAACCAGCTGGGAATCGATATTACTTTTAAATGTTTCTGTGTAAGCAGTGTGAAAGTTTAATTATTATTCGATTGTATTCACCTGACAATGGAAGTATGGAAGAAAAGAGTCCGAAAGAGTATCGTATAATACATGGAAGTACTTACTCAATCCAAAAATGCACAAACAATTTTATAAAGCCTATATTGCATTCATGCAAAGTAATACTTTATTTAATATCTAAACATACCAATACACTCAAATATATTGCCTCACTTTCATTTCTCATTACTGCCAAAAATTCAAATTTGAATAATTGGATATCGGAAAAGCTATTAACCATTAAATTTGATAAATAACTCAGAAACATCAAAATCATTTTTCATTCAATTCAATGTACCATAAATATTCAATCATAACATAACTAGTGGAAATCAACAAAAATTATTTTTCTTAGAGTTTAGTACATGGGATGTTTCTTCCCCAATCGGGGCTTCGTTCACGTGATGGAGTTGTTACTAGTTAACAATCTTTCTCTCAGAAGAAGGATTTATATATATGTAGCAGAGCCGTGTTGAAATTAATCCCGTCCCAGACACTTTGCTGTCTGGGTAGGATCTTTCCTGTACTGACTATAGAGGTAATACCTCGAAACCGCGGTCTGCAGGTGATCTACTTGAATAATTTCAGCATCGTCCTGCTGATGGATGAACGAGAACATTTGCGAGACTAGTCTCAGTGAGGTATCTTGCATAAATGCCTGTCAGTTATAATTCAAAATCCAGCTTGGTATCAGCCGGGAAGTAGTTTTTTACGATAGACGTTTACCAGACCCTACTGTATTTATTTTGGGAGAGATTAATATTTCAAATTTCATAATTATTATGGTCCCAGACACTCCATTAACTTCAAACTATCCCACCATCATTTATCTTTGTTTGAAAATAGAGTTTGCAATTCATGCCATGTAAACAACCCTCAACATGAAAATCATGTTCATCAAACAACCATTCATCAATTCACTTTATAATCATATTGAATATTTCCTCAATGAAACATTTTCTGCAAAAGTATGTATTTAAGCATTTGAATTAGATATTTTTGTCTATAATTTGTTCATTAACTTTTACATTCTTATGTAAGATTATCAAAAAAAAATTGAAATTCGACAAGTTCGTTTTATCATTTTTCTGACTTCTTCATTGCTACTTTTCTGTACAAGATTTTGTGAACTTCAATTAGAAATAATACACTGAACTTTAGTGTTCGACCGAAACTGGTTTTTACGACCGAAACCGAAACACGAATTTCGGCAATGGTGTCAGTTTCGGCCGAAACCGAAACTTCCTTACAAGGATTATGATTTGAGGGAAAAATATAGAAAACGTTATATAAGTCAGTCTTTATTTTTTTATCTTTTAATCACAACGTCATGCAGTCTTTGACATATTTACTCATTGATAATCAACATAACAAACCCTTATTTAAGAAAAAATATTAATTGCACCTTGAAAATAATTAAAATAGGTGAGGTGTTTATTTGAGTAGGTGTAGATCCTTCTTTTGAATATTATTGATGGTTTTTCAAAAATATTAAACATAAAATTACTTATTTAAGTTGTTACCTAATATCAAAATAGATACTTGATATTAATGTGATAAAAAAAGTTAGTCATGATATGATTAGGCACGTGGACTCGGCAAAATGTCTTCGTCACTTGTATGAAATTCAACGCGCCGAACATGACCGATCACAGCGCGGGAACTCCCGAATGCAGTTTCGGTTTCGGTCGTAGTTTCGGCAGGTTTGCCACCGAAACTAAACCTAAACCGAAACCCGTTTTATTGCCGAAACTCGACCGAAACAGAACTTTCGGTCGGACACTACTGAACTTCTACTGTAATACCCTTATATTTCAATATTCCATATAGGAACCGACTAACGCACTATATTTAACGATCTGTACTCTACCGAGGAACAAACATTAATTAACGAATAATCATTCCTATCACTACCACTAATACATCACATAACTTATAAATACCTAACCTAAATGTCATGAAGGTTTTAAGTGAGTGATTCAACCATCTACCATCGTCTAGAAGTACTTCTATACGGTGCATCTACCATCTCTTTCCTATCCTACACTGCATACAGGGCGAGTCACTTGTAACTGGACTCCCTACAACAATCTGTAGATCACTAGCAGACATTATGAGGAAATGAACTAGATGTAGGTACTACGTTCCTTCGCGGCAGGCAATTTGGCAAGATTTTTCAATTTGGTGCGTATTTCAAAACTTATTTGTGCGGGCCATTTAAAATTCTTTCGTGGGCCACATTGTGGTACATTGTGGCCTGGGGTTGAGCACCCTTGAACTAGACTGATAGGCAGTTTTTTTTAGCTGATACCACTATTGCTATCTCTGAAAAACGGTAGGTCCTGCAAGAACGGTTAAATTGAACAGAAGTTGCCTTTTTAGTGATGCAAGAAAACGGTATTCTCAGATCGATAAAGTCACCAACCGTTTCAGAGATATTTCCAAAAAACTGAAAAATTGTAGATTATAAATTTTGCTCTATATAAAAAAATGACAGAGGAACTTTTTGCTTCATTTCATGTTTCTCATAATCTGGTTCAACCCATATTCCAATGCGACTTTTCGTTTATCATAATTCATCATCGATGTTCAGACCCATCTATTCAGCGAGCGAAACTCTTGCGAGATAATCGACCATCAACACTTCAAAATCGATCCTTCAGCTGACAAGAGCTCAGACGTTGTTTTACAATTAAGAATATTATTTTTGCTATACGACACTTTGTATCATTATATACGTTAGAAAACCAGTATCACAGTTTTCACAAGAACAATCAATATATTTTTTTATTACGGGCCTGTATATTTTTTTATACATTTCGATAGTCATTGTATTTACGAATTCATTGACATATAATAACATATGTATCATTTCAAAATATCATTCAAAATTCCATCATTTAACTTTTTTTCAATGAGAAATCAAATTTCTAAATATCGTTGCAAGCACATAGTTAATAGTATCGTAATACACCACATTGAAAAAGAAACAGTTGCGAAAGAGAATGTAACGAAATAATAAATCGTAGAAAATGAACATCATAACGGAATGCCTCACGTTAAATTTTTTAAGTTACCGTCTCACGCGATATCGCATTAAATGTTCAAATTGTCTTCCATCATAGGACCATTATTTCTTATTTCTGGCATATTTGTATTCAGGAAATCTCTGCACATTTTCCTGCCGATGTGATGGAGCTCAGTCGTGTTGGGAATACTCATATTTTCTTATCAGGCTAAGTGAAACATATCCTAGAAACTCAATCAGAGTCCCTGATAAGAAGTCCAAGTAAAATTCTCCGGTCAGAGATGTTTCAAAAAAGTTGGGGCCAATAATTTTATTAATAAGAACACCAAACCATACGTTAACACCATATCTCTCTTGAAAATTGGTAACTCTATGTAAATATTCATTTTCTTGTGGCCAATGATAATGTATATTCCTGTTGAAACATCCGTTATTGGTAAATCTATTTTCATCACACCACAATTTTTATTTGCAAGTTTCATTATTTTGGCGAAATTTTCTAATTCAGGATACAATTTCTAATAGATTGCCAGAGATTTGGTAGCATTTCTCAATCATCTTGATTAAAAAAAAAGCATATCCACTTTTTCGTCATTAGAAAAATTGAATAACTGTTTTATTTTGTGTTTGAATTAACTTGGCATTCACATTCATGTATTTCAGGGCTTGCTTCAAAAATCCTAATCCTAATCAGGTTTCTCCTGAATATCATCAATGACTTTTTTGATACAGTATTTTCATTAGTTAATTCTTGTTGACATACTTGGCATACTCATTTTCTGAACAGAAATACTTGGGTAGCTACAAATGGCTTGGTATTGATACAAAGATTATTGGTCTCCTTTTTTCAAGACAATCCTGGATTTCAGTGAATATAAATATTCAGGATCTTAATGAATGACATCACTGACGGGAGAACCCTGTATTTCAGTAAAATACGAAAATTCGTTCTTAATAGAAAAATGATGGAATATTGATGATGTGTTTTCGGGAAAAACGTAGAGAATTACATATGTTGTAATATATCAATGAATTTGTAATTACAATGACTACCAAAATGTATAAAAAAATATACGGGTCCGTATTCAAAAAAATATATTGATGGATTTCAATGAACGAAACGTCGCATTGGAGAATGTGTTGAACCAGATTATGAAAAACATTAAATGAAGCAAAATGGTCCTCTGTCATTTTTTTATATTTCTGAAAACAGAGGCGGTAGAGCAAAAAAAATCTGTCATTTTCAGTTTTTTGCAAATATCTCAGAAACGGTTGATGATTTTATCGATCTGAGAATACAGTTATGTTGCATTCCTAAAAAGGCAACTTGTAGGACCTACCGTTTCCGAGATAGCAATAGTGGTATCAGCTAAAAAACAGCCTGTATATATGGATTTTGTTGGAGAGAAAGTACCTATTAAATAATATATACTGACATTCAAGAAGGGTGTACAATTCTGGTATGTGGGAGCATTGTTGTGTTGGATATTTGAAAGACTAGAAGGAAAATTTGAAATAAGATGGCTTTTATTAAATATATTTCATTAATCAAAATTTGTGAATATTGATGTTTTAATTAGTTACATTCGTAAAATAATTCAAACAGTAATTGTTAATGGTTCAATAATCTGAACTCATGCAATAATTTGAACAGATCAAGTTATTACATACCCTATCATGAAATCACTTCAGATATGTTTGGTAAGGTGAGATTTTGAATTTTTTTGTCCAAAATGGTTTGTAATCTTGATGAATCATGCTGAAACAAAATTTGGTTTGAAAAATTTTTATTTTGGCAATGAAGCTACCATTCACCTGCAATACATGAACTCCTCTCATGGATAAAATGACAAGATCTTTAACTCCGTCACCAGTTATGTCAATATATTTCAAACCTAAAACGGGCGCTGATATCTTTTTCAATTCCTCCAAACACCAATTCCCCTTTTTATCTTTTTTATACATCATTATTTTCTAAAAAAAAATTGAAAGTATTAAGATCATTTATTGCATGGAATAACGTATAAGTTTATCCAGGGAAATATATTTCATTACCAGTAACTAATTATTCTTGACATCTCCGTCCTCCTTTGGTATTTGATAGATCCCTGAATCTCATACCCTTGAATACGGTTCAGCAAAAATTTCAGATATAAAAACTGCAAACGTTTTTATATGATACTTAGTTATCGCTCGTCTCGCTAAGTCAGTCTTAATTTTGTGTAATCATCTAAAAGAACAATTTGTTCAGGCCAGTCACAACTCACTTACACTGTAGGTTAATGGACTGACATCTATCAGAAAACAACTACTCCCCTGGCTAATGCCATGAAGGGCGTTGGGATTATATCCACAGGTGTCAGTGTAGGATTCTTCACTGAAGTTATTTCTGCAATGCTTTTGGCGATACAACTGCCGGAATCTATTTTCAATTATTGGAACGGGCACTTGAGTATTGAAGTTTATGATTTTCCACAATCAAAAATCGAATTCCTTTCGGAGTATCATTTCTTGAACAAGGCTGAAACCGTTGAATACATATCAGCGTTACAGAATTCGCACAAAATGTCCCATAATCAGAGACAAAGGAAGATTCTGGATAAAGTAATGAACTGAAAGAAAAATGGTTCGGTTGGAAAGAAAACTCATTAGATATAGTTAAAATAATGAAGGTTAGTATCGTTCAGAGCAAAATAATAGAAAGATAGAATCTTTTATATAAAGAAATTTCATTGGAGCATCCCTTGTTAAGATACAGCCCCTTAAAGGGGGTACATAAAATTTGTATAACAATTTTTTTCACACGCACTAAAAAAGTTACAATATTGAAATTAACCTGAAGTTTTGTACTACCAAAAAGACACTTAGCCAGAAATTCATTTGGTTTACCCCATGGTTGTAAGGGGTGGAAAACGCAACCATTTACAATGTAGCATTTTGTCTTATCATTTGTTTACCATTTAAAAATGTATTTTCGATAGCCTGTTTCATTCTAAACAAAAAATGTCTCTTGGGTTTTTTGCCCAAAATAAACCAGTTCGCAGCAAAAAATTATTTTATGAACAATTACAGAGATACATCGTCATAAATGCGAAAATACGAAATACGATAGTGACAATTAAATTGGTATGACGCTGTCATTTTGTGAATTTTCGAAATTGAATTAATACTAATTGTGTGTTGTTGTTCTGTTCTTAATTTGTTACTTTAATAATTCACTTGTTATTAAAATGGCGTACACAAATGAGGAAATGGCTGATATGCATTACGTTTACGGTCTGTCGCAGGGGTATGGGTTAGAAGCTTCTAGAAGATATGCTAAAAAGTATCCTCAACGGCAGCATGCTTCACATAGAATATTCGCTCGACTTCATCAACGATTACGAGAATATGGTTCATTCGACAAAAGAACGCAGTATTGTGGACGCCATTGAGAAGTACGAACACCACAGCTTGAGGAAGCAATACTTAATTTGATTGAAGAACAACCTACTACCAGTTCTAGAAAGATTGATTTCCAGCTAAATGTTGATCATATAACGGTATTTCGAATTTTGAAGGAACAACTCTTATACCCTTACCATCTGCAACGAGTACAGGCACTGTTACCGCGAGACTTTCCGAACCGTCTTGAATTTTGCAATTGGATGCTGGAAATGATTAGAAGAAATTGTGACTTTCCGAAGACGATAGAATTCACAGACGAATGTAGTTTTTCTCGGGACAATATTATTATTTTCATAATTACCACATATGGGCTGATGAAAACCCTCACGCTATTGTCGAAACTAACCATCAAGAACAGTTTTCTCTTAACGTGTGGCTCGGAGCTATTGGGGATGATTTAATTGGGCCTCATTTTCTACCTCCTCGATTAAATGGTGAGGCATACGTTCAATTTTTAAGAGAAGTGCATCTAGTACTGCTGAAGGAAGTTCCTTTGGGCGTCAGAAGGGATATGTTTTTTATGCATGATGGGGTTCCCGCCCATTTTAGTCAAGTAGCACGTCAGCATTTAACTGAAACATATGCAAATCAGTGGATAAGTCGAAGAGGACCACAGAACTGGCCCGCTCGATCCCCGGATCTCAATCCTCTTGATATATATTCAATAGGCAAAATTCAAGACCAAAATAACTTGCAAAATTAAAAATTAAGCTAGTATTATCGGAACATCAGTTCAAATAAGAAAACACATTCTCGAAAAAGATAGACACTTTAAAAAAATCTTTTAGAGTGAAATAAGTTAGTTTTAGTCAAATTCATCCCAAAGTTGTATCATACTGTATTGTAAGTAGCATAATTTTATCCATATTGCCCAAGATTTTATCTATTTTTCTTACTTTTTGTTTGTCTAGTATTTATTCGGCCTATTTTCCCTCAAGCCGAAATATAATTTGCTTAACTATAACACCAAATTCACAAAATTTAATAAAATGTTTTGTAGTTTCTACTCCATGAAGGCCATACATATTTTTATACAAATATTTATGTACTTACATATTCTTTATAACTTCTTACGAAACAAGAGCTCTGCTCTTATCGCCAAACCACTTTGTTCACATATTTTGTTTTAATTGTACTCTAATCTGAATACGTTGTGAATAAAGTTATTATTATTATTATTATTATCAGTTTCCATTGCACCTGTAGTGAGGTATAGCTGTTTTCATGCTTCCACTATAGGTTGTGGCGTTTTTTGTGAAAAAGCAAAGCTTGGGGTTTCTGGAACAAACTTGAAGCAACAAATCACCTTAATTGGTTGGAGCTAAAGGCAGCCTTTCACGGCTTAAAGTGTTTTGCCATCAGAAATTTGAAAAATGTCAATATATTGATGCATCCTGTAATACAACAGTAATAGCATGTAACGTATTCCAAAAGCACTTTATTGTGAGATTTTCACTAAATTGTTTTACAAAAACGCAACACGTGTTTCGCCATACAATGGCTTCATCTGGCNATTAATCCAGTGTTCAATAAATCAAGTTTGTTCCTGCTAAAATTTCTAAAAAATTTTTTTGAATCATTATTAAGATTTGATGAAAATTTAATCGACATTGTTATTACACTATGATCGGCAATTTTGGGAGTATTGTGAACTTTCACTTGAAAGGTACCTTGATTGGTCAATATATAATCAATTAAAGAGCTGTTGTTGATATCACCCTTGTAGGTTCATTAACTAGTTGTTCTACACCAAGTATAGCTGTGAAACTTTTGAATTGTTGTACATTTCTGTCATTATTATTTAAATAATTCAGATTAAAGTCACCGTTTTTTATCGAAAAAATGTTCTGTCTAAATTTCAAAATTTTCCACGAATTGACTAAAGTTAGAATTAGGTGAACGATACAAATAGCTTAAAAGTATGTTCTCACCATGCATCATAAAGCTAATTATTGAACACCAATAAACCTTGCCAATACAAACTTTTTTATATATTTTAAAATCAAATTCCCTCCGTAAATAAATCACACCACCAGTATGCCTGCTAGATGGAACAATTCTCACAATTCTGTAGCCGTCAATATCAAGTTCAAAGTCTTCAATGTCGGTTGTTGTTCGGGCTTCACTGAGTAAAACTACTGAAGGCTGGTAACAAATGATGTCATGCACGAGTTGGTCATGATTTGCTATTAGGCTTTGTATATTTGTATAAATGATATCAGTATTAAAGAGTATATTGGGATATTGATTCAGTTTTTTCGCTTCTGCTCAGAAGAAACATCCACAATTGTTGGTATATTGTTGATATAACGGATCTTCTTGTTGTTTACTCCCTGAGAAGTGAGATCCGCAAGCTTAGACTTGTCTGAGAGATAGTATTCTTTTTGAAATTTTGTTTGGTCACCAAATACAATTATTCCAGGAACTATAATTTTGTTCTTGTTCCGTAAAACATATAGGGCTTCATCACTGTTCGACAGAACTACTTTGATAGGTCTGTTTCTGTCTTCGGAAAATTTACCAAGTCTGAAAGTCTTTCTGATGGTTACACCAAGAATTTCATTGATATTTTTTATATCTTCTTTGGCCCTGTCACGCTGATTATTCAGATTCGATTCTTGGATATTACATACAATAATATTAGGTGTCCTTGATTGTCTTTCATGCATCTCTTGTACAATAAGAATGAGATTTTCGGCCATATTCTTTTCATTAGCTTTTACAACCATTTCTTGCAACTTGTTATTCTCTTCTACCAACTTTTTGTTGATTTCCAATACTTCATTTAATTTTTCAATGATTTTTGGTACTTTCTTGAAATTTTCTTTGCAGTTTGTGCAGAAGTAGAGAAGATTTCGTTTTTGAATTACGACTGCTTTTAGTTCAGAAGGGGCTAGATCAGCACATTTTTCGTGATATACTCTACAGCACAGCAATCACAGACAGCAACTTTTTCATTTTTATTTATAATTTTGGTAACACTTTTGGCACATTCAGGTCCATTCATTTTGTAGCTGAATTTCCTGAAGCCGGTCCTAGTTGTTGGGATATCGTCAGCGGATGAATGATCTAGAAGGAAATCTATCGATGCCGAAAACGAATAATTTGGTCAACCGGATATCAATATTTTTGCTTCATGTATCAATAAAAAATGTGACAAATACATATTTTGGGATCCAGACCCAGGCTCGGACTTACGGGTATTGTAGTGGTACCAAATTTGTCAACACAGGCATGGTATCCGTTATTTTGTAACTTATTATCTGACAAACCCATAGATATTTCACCTTCTGAATCACTACTTTCATCCCCTTTCTTAACTCATGACAAACCTTTTCACCCTGCTTCATCACAAACACTGAGTCGTTGGGTCAAAAACACATTACAAAGCACAGTGGTGTGGAGACTAACATTTTCGGTAGTTATCGTGTTCGGCACTGAGCCACTTCCTTAGCATTTAGATCGGGTGTCAATATATATACAAGAAACACAGCTGGTTGAACTGAAACTTCCACCGTATTCAATACGCTATAGTTTTAGGTGATTCAAATGAACATTGAATGAAGGGAATTTTCAGATTTATTAGTTACAGTATGTTCAATGATATACATTTTTTCTTTGTATAACATATTCACAATATATCTTATTATTTGTAGGAATGACGCACTTTAATTATTTCGCTAAATGTTTATCAAATACCAAAGGAGGACGGAGATGTGATGAATAAGTGTAAGATTGGTCGACTTACCAGAAGGAAGATCAATCTTAATTATTCGAATATCATAGTCCTCCTTTGGTAGGAGTGCCGACTCACCACTTAAAACTATTTTTCCTCCCCCAACAACGTGCGAATGATTCACAAAATCAGACTGACTAAGCAGGACAAGCGATAAATACCTTATATCATATAAAAAAGTTTTTTATCAGAAATTTGTGCTGGACCATATTCAGGGGTATGAGATTCACGGATGTATCAAATACCAAAGGAGGACTTTGATGTTCGACTAATTAAGATTGATCTTCCTTCAAGTAATTCGACCAATAGAGCTAGTCTGGCGTGGAACTATATACCACCCAGTTGGTTGGCAGCAAGGGTGGTATATATACTTAAAGTGGGTCGGAAAGACCCACACCCTAAATCGGTACGACCAATCAACCTTACCTCTTTTCTATTGAAAGGACTTGCGAGGATACTGGACATAAATATCAGGGGGGTTGCATTATATGCAGCCAGTATGCATATCAAACCAGCAAATCGAAAGATTCGGCATTAAACAACCATGTAGAGAAAATTACCCAATCCCTTGACAACAAGGAGATTGAGGTTGCAGTATTTCTCGATATTGATGGAGTACTTGACAATGATTTACCCAAATCTATAGGATCATCTTTGGATAGGTAAACAAAACTGCAACTAGGACTCTTCAAGGCGAAGCCATTAGGTTCAGGGTCAACAAAGGCTGCCCTCAAGGTGGGGTACTATCTCCCCTTCTGTGGTCGCTCCTGATGGATCGTCTGCTTGATGCCCTCGACAGAAGAAAAGTAGATCTGTAAGCATATGCAGATGACCTTGTAATCTTGGCTAGGTCCACGTCGGATAGCTTGTAATATCCTTCAAAGCACGATGGACTTTGTCCACAGTTGGTGCCTGAGGAAGCAGATGTCTGTCAACCCCAGCAAAACTATGATAATCACCTTCACCAGGAGGAGAAAAATGGACGATTTAACGCCACTCCCCCTCAATACTGAGGTCATTCCATTTGGAACGGAGGTGAAATATCTTGGCATTGTCCTTTATAAAAAACTCACCTGGAACGTTCACTTGGAAAAAGTTTTACACAAAGCCAGACTGTCCCTATGGACATGTCGAAGGATTTGTGGTAAAACTTGGGGTTTAGGTCCCAAACAAATTCATTGGATTTATATAATGTTTGTTACACCAATGATCACTTATGGAACAATTGCCTGATGGGCGAAGGCTTTACAGAAAACAGCTCAGACGAAGCTCTCTGGCTTACAGAGACAGGCTTGTCTGGCCATCAGTACCACACCGTCAGCGGCGATGGAGATCCTTCTAGATCTACCTCCTCTCCACATTTTTCTGAAGAGAAATACGAATACCTTGTCTTTAATGAAGCCCCACAATGAAAAGTCCAGAAACGTGATGGTCATTGTTTTCTATCCATCGTCCTGACATAGTTGTATTGAGAAAATGTCTACAAATAGTTCTGTGGTGTGGTGGAGATCCATCATGTTGGAAATACTGATATTTTCTCAGAATATTCAAAGACAATTCTTCCAAAAACTCAACTAGAATCTGATAAGAATTCCAAATATATTTTCCCCGTCAAAGATGTCTCAAAAAAGTAGGGACTTTCAATCTTGGAGTCTATCACACCAAGCCAAACATCCAAAGATCTATTGGAAATTTGTAGCTCTAAGCAGAAAAGAATTTTATTGTCCTCAATTGAATTAATATCACTTCATTTTTTTATTAAACACTGTTTGGAAGCTTTGGTGTAGTAATGAATATTACTGTTTCGATTACGAAGTGATCATCTTGAAGAGGAAGATTAAACTGGAAGATTGAACGGTTTAATCTTCTTCTTGAATATGATCACTTGGTGATCGAAACACGTGTCGAGGTTTTAAAAATAACGATTTGGTGTTGGGAAAAACTCTAGTAATATTCATCACTTCATTTATTACCGAGAATGTCTTCTGAACTTACCCAAAACGCCAATTTCAGTATCGCCACCTCTTTTAGTTACTATACAACTCTTACTAGAGGGTTTTTCAAATGAACCATAATTTCATCAACCCCTCTCAATGCGTTGAAAATATATTAGAAAAATTCATGGTTTTCCTCTCACAAATTCACACGAATCATATGATTATTTATGTACTTGACAGTAAAACATATTAAACAAATCAATACATTTCAGTATACCTACTCATACATTTTTTCCCCACTATTTTTATTTACCAGAAACATTAACGTTCCATAAAAATTGGCTTTTAAATAGTTTTTCCATATTTATACATAAATTGCAAATTTTCAAAAGATGTTTGGAGTTAATGTATCTTTGAGTTCTAAGACATAGGTTTTACCTTTTCGAGACTTCACAAATATTGATGATGTTTTTTCAGAGACAAACGTCGGGAAACACGTGTTTTGTAATACATAGCTGATTCTGTTATTACAGTGGCTACAAAAATCGATGGAAAAAAAAACAAATTCTCATCATCTACAGCTTTAAAATGATCATCGGTAATTGACCAAGATGGTATTATGATTGTAAGTTTTGGAAATTTTGCTTAATAAAACTTCAAATATATCACTTTGGCTGAAAGTAATACAATTAAAATATGATGCTGTGATACTAATCACAAATTAGTATCAAATTTTGGTCTTATATTTGGTCTTGAGACCAAACAAATTTCTTTCTCACAAATTTCAGTTTTTTTTTCCAATATTTTTTTTCTGTCAGGACATACAAAACATCTTGACAAAATTATGAAAATTGATGTCCGATGGTGCGTTTTTACAACTGAGAGTATCGATCCTGCAATATTAGTCCACTGAAAATAAAAATCAGCATGAACCTAAAATGTGTGATTTGTAAGTAATATAACCACATCATATGCAGAACTTTATCAAAAGGCACGCATAAGTATATTTCAAGAATATACTTATTTGGTAAACTAACTTATTCGATAAACTAACGGTACTCACTGAAATATAACGGCAGGTAAAATTGTGTTGACAACAACCAAATTCAATTTTTTTGAAGTTCCACGAGATTTGATGTCCAACTCTCTCAAAAAAGTACTTTTCTCAAACGAATAATCTGTCACCGAATTAAATTCAGGAAAAATATAAACTTTTGAAATGTAGTTGCCAAACCGTGTAGAGAAATTATAGACTAGCTTGTTTGATACCACATCGACTTTGAGTAATTTTACATAGCCACATTCGCAGGCAAATGAAGTGATTCTCCTGCAAAAAAAATTAAAGTTAGTGTAGTGAAGAACATCCAAGATTATAAAAAACATTCTTACTCTTTGAAATCATCTGAATAATAAATATCAATCCAGACAACGGGACTAGGAGTTTTTGAAAATTCCGGAAAATGGTCTTTATTCTCAATTTCCTTATATGTATGATCAGTAGTATTTTCTCGAAATATATGAATTTGATTATCACTACCAGACAGAACAAAAACTATCTAAAATAAGAAACTATCAGCAATATAATACCTTTATGAATATTTACAAAAAAGATCAGATTCACTAAAAAGGTTGAAAATCGGAGACAATCTTGTTTGATTGATAATGTATTTGAAATTCGAACTAGAAAATCTTATTTGAGTTATTTCCTTAATGTCTTCATATATTGAACAAGCAAGTTCAAGAATAAAAAGCCTGTATCACTTTCCTTAAATTCTTTAAGGCTCTTTGTTGCATGACAAAGGCACTTTTCACCACTTCTTTTGAACTGTGATTCCATAATGTGAGAGTCATTTAATGCAAAAGTCAATTAACGTTTGTGGGGACGGTGTATTTCTATTCAACTGTATCCACTTTTTTTGCATTAGTGTAGTTTCATCTGCAGAGTACATTTTTATGGAAGAGAATAGGACTAAGAACTGAACCTTGTGGCATCCCTTTCCCACCCTTAACAGAAAAGTAAGTAAGTAAGTAAGTAAATTTATTCAATTCAGTATTAAGACAAAATACATAGTCGTCTATGACAAAATGATAAAAAAATAAAATAAAAAATGAATGAAGATACATGAAACGTAGAGATTATACAATTTTAATGAAAGTTACGGCTACCTAGGCAAGCTTGTATTGTAGCCAGCAAACTAAATAGTATATCTTTTCCTGTATAACCAAACGTAGTGAAGAGGGTATAGAAAGGAAGAGATAGTAAGAAGAAGATAGAGGACGAGAAAGAGAGAAAGACCTCTCTGTGATGCGCTCTGAAAGACAACTCTAAGACTTAGTAATTTGAAGAAATAAGTCCTTTTTGCAAAGAAATCTCTATAGGTTCTGCTGAACTGATTTATATTTCTTGGGACCAGAATTTTCAGGTAAAATGAGGATTGTTCATGTAATGAAGGGATTTTATTTTTTTTTTTCAGTGTTCAGATATGATAAAGAGATATTGGCGGCACTTATTAAATTATAAAATGAATCAAGTTAACTAGCTCTGCAGACAAAAGAACTGATATTTTAAATAAAAAAAAAATATCTGGATTTATAGGTCATGTTATGGTTACCTCAAAAGAAACGGACTATGGACTGGACTCATGCCAGTGAGATACTTCTCTCTCTCATCTACATATTCCTAGCCAAAAAATAACCCCTCATGATCAGAAAGAATAAACTGATCAATGAAGTTCGTACACATTTTTCAAACTGTAATTATATAGAGTGCGTTTCTTAATAATAATAATGATATTTGAAGTTATTTTTGAGTCCATTTTGATAACTTCGGTATAATTCTAGATATTTTTGTGAAATGTTGTATATATCTTCTAGAAGTAATTATTTTTTTAAATTGAAAGGGTTATATTTTTAGAAGAGGTTATTTTTTGGGAAAGAAAGTTTTTGGCTTTTTACTTCTCAATCTTGATACAAAAATGTGGGAATCTTTCAAAGAAAGGAAGGAAGCAATCGATTAAAAAAAGTACTCTATACCAAGATGTGTAGATCACATCTCATCAGCTGATAAGACAAGTGTCTTACCTCGAAATATCAGATATCTACCAGTGAGTGTAAGTGAAACTTTACCTTTCGTTCAGTATATTGTGTAGGAATCCTTTGAATGATATCTGAATCTATACCATTTCGAAAGCTTGGAATAGAAACTGAGTAGAGAAAAGTGTTTTTTGTATAATTCAGTGTTCATATGAAACTATTTGTTTTGAAAATATTTTTCTTTTGTGTAATTCCATGTTTATATGAAAGTAACTGTTTCGAAAGAGCTTTTTCTTCCAGTTTGTGTCTGAAAGTTACTTCTTTGCATAATCTACACATCTTTGTAGTTACTTTTTTGAAATTGATTGCTTCCTTCCTTTCTTTGGAATATTCCCATTTTTTTTGTATCAAGATGAAGAAGTAGAAATCCAAAAACTTTCCCAATTTTATATTCTCGTGGAATTTGTATTGAATCGTTTTAGAGTGAGAAGTGATACGGCCCCTTTTTCAAAGTAAAAATTATTTTTGAAATCCTCATTCCTATTCTGAGCAAATCTGGTCTCATGAATTATTTTCTCGCTAAACGTATGTTATTCATAAAAAAGAGTGACATCAAGACTGTTCTAAGAATGCCATGAAAAACTAAACAACCTGGCGGAATGTAATGGTTTGGCGCTAGAACGGGCAGAAATTTCAGGCAAAAATAAGGTGATGAGTAAGCTAAACACAAATCATCAGTTCCATATACTAGGCTTGAATCTGCTTTGATAGTACCAATCAATAATTACTAAATTATTTACTCGGCTCTCCATTCAAACAACACCTGGACAAAAGAAAGCTGTATAAAGAAGAACCCCAAATTTCCAATAAAGGACTTATACAAATTAGTAGAGGAAGATAGTTGGAGTGGACGTTATCATAAAAAGTGCTGGAGACTTGTCAAACAGCTCAGAATTGGAAACAATTGTTATAGTGATAAAATTGTAGAATAAAATATTGAAATTATTTAATAATTTGCATATGCAAATAGGACTAGAAAATATAGATTTCAACTGTTATTTTCAAAAACACTTTTTGGAGATAACATTTATTGAAGATGAATCAATTTGGCAAATGTGGCGGCTTGAGAATGGTAAAAAACATACACTATGGCCTATAGGTTTTGTCACGTGCTGTTCTTTCAGGGTGTGCAGAAAAGCAGCAAGGTTCAGTTAAACAGAAAAATGTTACTCACAGAATACCTCAAAGTCATTTTTATCATTTCTTACAATTACTGCTGAACTCAATGCAATAGTATACACTAACTCCAGTTTGATCTAGGGTAGATTGGTATCCGTGAATGCAGCTAGAAATATAGGTATCTCTGGTAAATTTGGGTTCACCAGCAATTATTTCTTTTTGACAGGAATTTATAGGAAAAAGTAAAAAACCTAAAGAACTTATAGTGCAAGAAACAAATTTTGTTTTCCACTCCATAGTAACGATGAGATTGGAACCTTTGGTGTGAAAGTTGAATAACTTTTTTCGAGATCAATTGCCCTAACACCAAACTGATATTTTTGCACTCGACGCGCGTTTCGCCAACAAAGTTAGCATCCTCAGGAGAAGAAAATTGATGTAGTTTTCAGCTTTTTTCTATTATTATTCTTTAAATACTGAGAAGTATGCGGAACATAATTGAATAAGTGTTTCAAATTATTTAGAATACTAGGAATTATTTTACTATCAGGTCTGATAGGTAGGTAACTGAACAAACATAAAAATAATCATGCATATGAAGAAGCTTATATAAACCGTGACAAGCTTAATGCCAGCACTTCTTTCGAGTTTAGTAAAAATTGTTGAACTAATCTAAATTACTGACTCACCTCTTTGTTAACCATAGCATTATCTTCAAAAGTAACTAAATAGGTATGAAAAAGCTTATATGGAATAAAATTAAGTTCAACATTCAGACAACTTTGTGCTATATTTTCGATATTGAAATCTTCAGTTTCTTCGCCAGCATATATGTTCAAATATGTTTCTAAATGACTTTCAGAATCATTACTATTCTGTAAACAGAAAATTTTGATATCAATATGTTAATAATGAAAACCACCATGTTTACCTTTATTATTGTGATTCCTATTACAAATTCGTTGCTATTTGTGGATTTGTTAAAAGCATCAATAGATATTATCTCAGCCCCATCTAAAAATTATATTGAATTTTTATCATCCTATTTTGAAGTAGAACATGATTTTTACAAGTTTTGTTATCTTTTCACATATAGTCAGTGGGCATACTTGAAGACTGACTATAAATCAAATCATCTAAAGGAACAATTTGTTCAGGCCAGTCTCAACTCCCTACACTGTAGGTTAATGGACTGACTACTATCAGCAAACAACTACTCCTCTGGCTAATACCATGAAGGGCTTTGGATTATATCCGACAGGTGCCAGTGCAGGATTCTATACTGAAGTAATTCATGCATATGCTGTTGGCGATACAATTGCCGAAATAGATTTTCAATTATTGAAACACACTTGCAGACCGGTTTCGGGCTGTTTGGCCACTCGTCAGTGCAAGGTATTTCTTCATTTGAAAACAGTATTTTTTTTTACTAACACGCGTTGAAATTACAAGGTTTTTCTNTCATAAACGATGCTTTCGAACAATTTGCTGAAAATGGACAGTTTACTGATACTTCATAATTTATTACTGAGTTTCTATTACCAGAGTAATAGACACTACCTTGCAATGACGAGTGCCAAACAGCCCGAAACAGGTCTGCAAGTGTGTTTCAATAATTGAAAATCTATTGCGGCAGTTGTATCGCCAACAGAGTATGCAGGAATAACTTCAGTGAAGAATCCTGCACTGGCACCTGTCGGATATAATACACCGCCATTCGTGGTATTAGCCAGGGGAATAGTTGTTTTCTGATTGGTGTCAGTCCATTAACCTGAACTGAGACTGGCCTGAACCGATTGTTCCTTTAGATGATTTAAGTTTTGTTATATTCATGATTCCCAGAAACATTACATGTTTATGCAAGTTTATATTATATGCAAGTATATGGACGGTCGGTATCCGGGCGGTTCGACGTGGGTTTGTTCACTCAGTCAATCAGCCGATGTGTGAGTCGATGGTTCAAGAAAATCAAGCCGAACGATCGATTTTCACTTGCTATCCTCCAACCCGTGTTAGGAATCACACGTTAAAAGGTAATACCTCGTTAGTCCTTAGCTCGCACAAGTTTCGACTTCTTAGGGTTATTGTTCATAGGGGTGCGATAGCTGGTTAACGGAAAAAAAACAATTTTTTTTAAACAACATGTTATTACTCATTTGAACACTTATCTACAATAACTCTAAACCAAATATTTAATAAATGTGAAATTTGGAGAACTGAAGAAAAACAAATGAGACGCTATCAAAAAAAAATGTTGTAATGTAAATAAATTCACGGTTGAAATGAATATACAAAATATTGTATTAATTTACTCTTTTATTATTTCTATAGGAATTTATAAAGAGAATTCTGATCTAATATTTTGGGCTGTTAAATGCGTTTGAAGCAGAATTTTTTGTCTGAGCGGAAATAGTTTGAAGCACGAAATAATACTGATATAGGAATGTAGGCTTTTACGGCTGGCATCAATGTTTTGGTTGTTTTCTGGGTTTTTCCGTAATCTTCTTTAGTTATGACCTCCAAAGTTTTGACTGCAACTGCGGCAGTCATCTTCAGTGGCGTTGTTAAGTACTCTTCTTGACATGTCAAGTGTTGTTTCAGTCAACTGTTATTTCAGTTGACCCGGACAGTTGACAAAACCAGAAACCATCCAAAACCTCTAATAATACTCTTAAATATATTCAAGTAACACTTTGTGAGATTTTCACTGTATGTTTTACAAAACCACAACAAGTGTTATGGAATACAATAGCTTTCTAACGGTTGTTTATAGTGACTAAATTCTACCCAATATAACAAATTGGATCATATGACCTACTTATTTAATGACTAATAATTTTACTAGAGTTTAACCTAATTCAAAATAGAAAGCATCATGAAATGAACTACCTGTCAGAGTTCAGTTATGAAGTAATGAAAAGTTTGAACAGTATATTAGAAATTTTACCAACTGTTCAGTGAAAATCTCACCATATAGCGTAACTTGAATATATTATGGATTTTCATCAAGTCTCGGCCAATTTCACATATAATAAGCTCTATAATATAAAACTTTACTGCCATTTAACCTTACCAATTCCAAGATCCCATGTATTGACTATATATTCACTCACCCCGTATATTTTTGAAGTTTCTTTTTTCATGAAAATGAGTGCAAAGATCACTTTGAGATGATCCATTTACTGAATCGAAGTCCTGGATGGCAAAGAGAATCCAATATGCTTCAAACATGGCGGGCACAGAGTCAAATTATATGCATATGCATAAGTACTCATGAATACATGCACATACAGAAACAACCTCACTCTTTATTACAAAATTGAATATATGTATTTCTTAATCCTAAAGGAGGATTACATGAGCAAAAATGGCACTATGCTCTGGAGTTGATTTACTATTTGTTTAGAATATTTGTTTAGAAAAACCATCACTAGTATACCATAGTGATATTCTTCCTTAAAATAAAAAGTAATCAAAATTGTTGTAGTTTGCCTGAATACGCCTAAGATGATGCATTTTTTCCAACAGGTGAAGTAATGAGTGAGCCAACTACTTGGATTTTTTTATTTGTTGTTGTATTTATGACATTTTATCATTATTTAATAAATTTTGTTATAATTATTGCGAATTCTCAATTCAATTCAATATTTGACTAAGCCATATTGTGAAATGATTAGGTTTGAGCTGCCAGTTATTTTAATATACCTATTTTTACACATTTTTGGAGTTGTGTGCTGTTATACATACAGTTTCTAAATTGGTTATTAATAATTGAAACTGGAGCCTTCGCAAAAAAAATAGTTTTTCGGAAGGCTAAAAATTCAAGAACAGTATCCTGAGGGGAGTTTTACCAAGAAAATTGGGAACAGGCATGATCATAATTGTGCTGACTAAACATGCCTCAAGAATAGTGTTTTCACATATTCAGTTGTTGATTTTTTTTATAATCTTATTGGTTATTTAAACTTTGTGGAAAAGCCTTTGGCAGAAGACACTTACTTGGTATATAAGTAAAAGAAACTTCTTTTGTAGTGGGAATCAATAAACCAGAAGAAGATTCTTGAAAGTCAAAACAGAATATTTCCCTTTTCAAAGAAGCTACAAGGAGTTTTGTTGAACCATTTACTAATTGTATATCAGTCATAGTGTAAATATTTCCCTGGGAGGGAGTATAAAAAAAATGGACATCTTTAAAATGTTCCATTTTTCCATGTTGAAGAGTCATATCTATCAAAGTATTATGCTCCTGTCATAGTCATCACACTTTTTTTCACTCTTGTGTTTTCACATCACAATAACTGACCACATTCAACTGAAAATAATTTAAAGTTTAATAAACAGAACTATGTAGTTTTCAACTCTTCAACTTGAATAGCAGTCTAGTCAATGGGAGAAATAAATAATATCAAATTAGAATACCCTCACTTAATCCATACATAAATTTTTTTTCTCTCTGGTTACTCTGGTTTTAGATTCAGATTAGGGTGTAATTCAAAATGTCACAATAGTAATTAGTATTCTGTGGCCACAGCATAGACCAATCATCGGTTATGATGTCTATGCCATACAGAACGTACTATCCACTGCATCAGAGCTCATATTATGACAAATCAATTCCCAAAATTTTCACAATGGCAATATGCAACACGTAAAACATCGTGACATTGTATTTGACGTTGTGTATGCGCGAGGTAAATGCCGAGACGTGAATCTCTATTTTCTTTTAGTTGTTTGATTCAATATTCTGTCTTCAATGGTTAGTCCATATTATGATGTTACTGTGCCACAATAATGTCACAGATTGCAATGTCACGACCACAGGTCACAATAAAATAATTTTCATTTGCCGTCGAAATCTTTGATGTTTGCTGACAAAATGGCAAAACTTTCTAGGAAGTTAGAGCTGTCAAGAAGGCTGAACGATGATTTTGTTGTGGTGAGAGAAAAATTTGGCAGATGCCAGTTTTGAATTTGGAATATTTGAAAAATATGTTTATTTTATACATACTTCAATGAGTAGAAGTTTCCATGACACTTTACTATTAACATTTTCTTAAAAAAAGAATTGAACATTTTAAAGACTCAGATAGGTACTTTTGAGTACTAAACAATTCTGGTCATCAATTGTCTCATTTTGATAATGGAAACATAGGACTATATAGATTGCAACTTGTTAATTTGAACAAATATCAAGAATGACATGAAAAATTCAGTAAACCTAATGTAAACCAAGTAAAAAGAAAGTAATATCTGAATTCATTTCACATTAGCTGGTTTCCGTGGGCCAATAGATCCAAATATTTTCTCCTTTCATTGTCAAAATATTATAGATGGAAACAGACACTAAGGAACAAGTATATTTTCACATCAAAATGTAAATCTATCATTGGAGAACCCAAAACTATATTCAACTCAAAATTTCTTTATAAATGCACCTTTTTACAATCACATATTTATTTGTTTATTGGAGTAAAGAATATAGTGGAGGAATTCTTCGTTAGTTCATCAAATTCTTCAATGTTAGCGATCCTATGTGATTTTCATCTTGTCCGATGAATTATCAGAGGTTGAAAGTAATTATAAATATGATAATAAGAACTAGTCGTGACGTCAGTTTCAACATATATTCCACCTGAGGATTACTCTTGGGAACTGTGTCACAACACAATGTGACAAATCAGATTCCAAAATTTTTATAATGGAAATATGCATTACGTAAAAACATTGTATCGACGTAAAATATATGAGTGACGTAATGACGAGACATGAATCTGTTCATCTTTTTTCAGTTGTATTCAAAGTTCTCTGTTCAATAGTCAGTCCAGATTATGACGTCAATGAAAGTAACTCTTGAGAGTGACCAACCCAAATATTTATTTCAATTATGATTAAAACAATTAATTGGAAAATGAATGGTTATAGTCTATGATTTAAGGTACCCTTTTCGAAAATAATTCAGCTATTGATTACCACACTTGACAATTCAACACAACATATCTTTGTACAAACTTCATCTGAAGATGAATGAAAGTAATGGTCAGGATTATTTTTGAAACATATCTTTGTACAAACTTCATCTGAAGATGAAAGCTGATAAAAATGAATAAAATGATTAATACACAGCCATTATAGAAAAAATACGCTTCACCGTCCTACCGTCTGTATCTGTTGAATGAATATCTGTGTATAATTAATTTATTCATGATTTTAACTCAAATTATTTCTTGAAAATGTATGTTGGAAATAGTGCATGTATTTGTTACGAGAAATTCTAACTCGTCAAACAGGTGTTACATAAGTTTCTCAACTTCTGAGAGTTGTCGTTTGTATGGGGGCGACAGCCGATTATCGGAAAAACAGATTTTAACCAGATTTTCGAACAGGGGGAGAGCTAGTATATGTAACCGATTTCACGAAACGAAGACAATAATCACCATAAAACTTGTAATCTTCTATAACGAGTTCTGTGCTATAAACGGAAGTACAGGCCAAGTTTTGTTAGGGACTTTCAATTTTTGACCGTTTTTCGGCAATGACAGCTGGTTTTTCAGAGAAAAGAAGTTGGCCAGTGTTCGTCATTATCAAGTCATTAGCTTGGCGCTAGGAGTTATTGTGAAAGCTTGAAAAGTTCAGAAAATACTGGAGTCATTGATGTCCAATAAAAGTGTTATTAATTTTTACTGAGATTTTTCGGTCGAAGTAACAGTGCCGGCGTCACCATGTCGGACGAGAGTCATCCAAAAACATTGTATGTGGGCAATTTGGACGTGTCAGTGTCAGAAGACCTGTTGTGCACACTGTTTTCACAAATAGGCCCCGTTAAAGGATGCAAAATTATAAGGGAACCCGGGAACGATCCATATGCTTTTGTTGAATTCACAAACCACCAGTCAGCATCCACAGCTTTGGCTGCCATGAACAAGAGGTTGTTTTTAGATAAAGAAATGAAAGTGAATTGGGCGACAAGTCCAGGCAATCAACCCAAACAAGACACATCCAATCACCATCACATTTTTGTTGGTGATTTATCCCCCGAAATAGAGACTGACACATTGAGAGAGGCCTTCGCTCCTTTCGGAGAAATATCGAATTGCAGAATAGTGAGAGATCCACAAACACTCAAATCCAAAGGTTATGCTTTCGTATCATTTGTTAAAAAAGCTGAAGCAGAAAATGCCATACAAGCAATGAATGGACAATGGCTAGGATCCCGGTCCATCCGTACAAACTGGTCTACGAGAAAACCACCACCGCCAAGAACAGAAAAGCCACAGCAGCGTGCTAAACAACCTACCTTTGATGAAGTTTATAACCAGACATCTCCGACCAATACGACTGTATATTGTGGTGGCTTTACAAACGGTTTGACGGATGAATTGGTACACAAAACCTTTGCTCCTTATGGAGCCATTCACGATATTCGTGTGTTCAAGGATAAGGGGTATGCATTTATAAAATTTGTAACAAAAGAAAGTGCTACACATGCAATTGAGAATGTCCATAATACAGAAATAAATGGTCAGAATGTGAAATGTTTTTGGGGAAAAGAGAATGGAGGCTTAGGACCTGAGTCTGGTTCACTACCCCCTGGTGCAGGGGTTCCTCAATCTGCTGGTCCACCGTACTCATATGGATATGGGGGGTATTGGGGCTATCCTCAGGGGTATAGTGGAGGTGGATATGTACAAGGTTACCAGCCGTACCAACAATATCAGCAGTATCCTGGAGGTCAGCAATATTGCGTCATGCCGCAGCAGGGACAGTGGTCAGGACAGCCAGGTCAGCAACCAAATGTACCAGTAATGTATAGTAATGTTCAGAAATATCCATCTCAGTGAACTAAATGGGACTTGTCTAATCAGTCAAGTGTTGTGCTGCAAATTGTATTGTATCACCTTGAAGCAGCATACTTTGTAGCATATTGAGTTGAGAGACAATTATCAAATAAACTACAATTTACATATAGATTTTTAAATGCCATTACACACTTTGACCGTAGAATTAGCCTGGATTTGCACTGGTTTTTTGTTGATGTATATAGGTACATATTTTTTAACCCGTATTGTTCCATTCTTCTAATGAATGGATATCTTAGAATAGCTCCCAAAATATGGACAGAAACTTAATATTCAGGTGTTGATTTTAATGAATGATATGCTAATAAAGTAACTCTTAAGTAACTGCTTCCTTTGTGGCATTATTTTTCGACAAACTTCAATATACATGTTAGAAGGCAGTTTCTCGAAAACACCTTCTTGTTTTACCAACCTCATACTTTTACTAATTTGATTTAGTTCAGATTTGGAATAGAAGTTCCAATTTAATATTTATTGTGAAAAGGTTGATATTGACAAAACATAAATAAATAATAAATATTTAATTCTAATTACTCTACTTGCAATGATGAATAGCCAAAATATGAACAATATTATATGAACAATATATGTCCGTCAGTTTGTCTTCTACTTTTTGTACATTACATTAATATTGATTTTACTATGAAGTTTCAAGTGACAAATATTTCAATGGCAGAGTGTTAATGGTAGTTAAGATGCATGATATCATAACATAACTAATTTCAAAAGTGAAAGAATGAATGCAGTTAATAACAGCTACAGGATATCTCTTGACACTTGTGAAAAAAATCTCAGACCGTGTAGTTCTTTCATTTGGAAAGTATTGTGCCTGACAATGGAAAAACTATTCCACCTATCTATTCCTAACCACTGGTAAAAAATAGATATCCTGTAGATTGGAATGATTGTGTTTGCTGTTTTCTTGTTTTTTCAACAGATTGAAAAAATTTATGGACTTTGAAAAATTGTAGCGCTAGGAAGCGTTACATAATGTAGATTGATTGATATTTAAATTTAGGGTAGATAGGTGAAAACTATTAAACAAATAATGTCATTACAACCAACTGTACATTAAGGATAAACATTGATGGTCTCAGTTGAATAAGACAGAATTTTATAACAAAAAAATTGTAAGTATATATATGCTAGTTGTTAATAAAAACTGCAGGTCTGGGAAACATGTTCATTTTTGGACCCTTCACTTGTAACTACTTTGAAATAGGAAGTAAGCAGCAGTAAGGCGCAGTCAGCTTGCCCTAATTTCTCAAAATCATTGCAAATAAAATGGCTGCCTGAAATTCCACAAAAAAGTTGAAATATTTTTACTCTTTTACAAATTGAGTGGATGATGATAGATAAAGTGATTTATGACTGTTATGGATGTTTAAGTTTTCCCAGATATCCATACGGTTTCCCTTATTGACTTGTTTTATGAATTTAATGTTCTCTGGTGAGGGGAAATTATGTTTGTTTTGTATGGCGTGTGTTTCGAGGTTTGATTTATATATTATTGGGTTTACACCCTGTTTAGGTATTTGTCTTCTTCTTTTTCATAGCTGTTTATTTTTTGTGTTATTTTCGTGTTTGGTTTGTAAGTGATGTTGATGTTCAGGGGCTAAACAAAATGGCATACATAAACCCAATAATATATAAATCAAACCTCGCAACACACGCTATATAAACCAAACATAATTTCCTCCCACCAGAGAACATAAAACTCATTAAACGAATCAATGAGGAAAACCGTATGGACATCTGGGAAAACTTAAACATCCATAAATTTAACAGTCATAAATCACTTACCGAGGAACAAATACAAATCAAAACACAAGAAGACTTAACATTCAATATATTAAACAAAACAATACACACTCCTAGAGAAGATCCAACACAAAGAATATTACCTGGTGTAACCCAAATACAGGCAAATTAGAATATGTATCCAAATGAACATCCACCCATTTTCCTATTTCAGAGTAATAATTTTGATATTCAGCAGATAACCCCAGTGTCACACGAATAGTTTTAGAAACTGTATAATCACAGAGATGTAAAAACAGTAATGTCGGATGCCAATTTCAATATATCAAACTGGTCTCCGGCCTTTTCCCACCATGTTGAATATATTTTTTTTTCTATTTTTCCTTCAAGTTTATTATGATGGGAAATTAAGACCCTAATTATTATTGTTGTCAATTTGATTCAACTTATTTCTTCATTATTTGAATAAATATTAAAAAACTATTTACACTTTGTCATTACAACGGTTCAGAATACCTACCGAGTGAAGATGAGGATAGCCATGAAGACCTGAGCAATGCTAATGACCATGAATCAATTCATGGGGAGAGAGTTTTGGAAGGGATGGAGAACACCCCAAAACAACCGAAAAATCTAGAAAAAGAAAGAAACATCCAGAAAAGTGGACTAGAAATATTAAAAAACAATTAAAAGCACACGGGAAAGAGTATGTAGGGGTACGAGGGATCATTAAATCAAAAGCTGAACTCAAACCTCCTTGCAAAACTTGGTGTTCTAGAAAATGTAAAATTACTGAGGAGAAAAGATTAGAAATTTTCAATTCGTATTATGCCTTGGGCACTTATGAAAGGCAGAGATATTTTATACAAAGTAATACTGAAAAGGAAGACAAAAAACCCAAACCACTAAATCTGGCAGTAAAAAAAGTTCAGTGTCAAATACTTTTTACCTATTGATGGAAAAAAAAGTAAGGGTTTATAAAACTTATGTTCATTAATACCATTGCTGTTAGAAAGGTGTAGTAGAAACACAAACACAACCGTTCATGACATGAGAGGAAAACATGTAAAAAAAGTTATCTCACCTGAAGAAAGAAAGAGCATCAAAACCCACATAGAAAGTTGTCCCATCACATTATACACGCTTAGATATGGATAAGAAATATTTGGAGCCAGGATTCAACACAAAAGAAATGTATCGTTTGTATGAAACATGGTGCAATGAAAATTCTTAGCCAAAAGCAAAATAATGGGCATACTGACACATTTTTAATACTTGAGTATAACTTTTAATACTGAGTATAACCGCATCATCCGAAAGAAGACCAGTGCCGCATTTGTAAAGCAGTCTCAGATGGTGAGGAAGTNTAAAACATATTAAACAAATCAATACATTTCAGTATACCTACTCATACATTTTTTCCCCACTATTTTTATTTACCAGAAACATTAACGTTCCATAAAAATTGGCTTTTAAATAGTTTTTCCATATTTATACATAAATTGCAAATTTTCAAAAGATGTTTGGAGTTAATGTATCTTTGAGTTCTAAGACATAGGTTTTACCTTTTCGAGACTTCACAAATATTGATGATGTTTTTTCAGAGACAAACGTCGGGAAACACATGTTTTGTAATACATAGCTGATTGTGTTATTACAGTGGCTACAAAAATCGATGGAAAAAACTAGATGTCCGTATTGAAAAAAATTAAGTTGATATTGAATTCTAATGAGCAAAATGTCGCATTGCAAATTGGTTTATATCAGATTATAATGGATGCGGTATAGCCAAAAAATGAAATTCGACAATTCTAGTTTTTGGAGAATTTTTTTATTTACTTATTCAATTAGAAATTGTCTACTTGCTTCTACCTCTCCTTTTACATTTACTCGGAGTACTTTTTATTCCTGGCTTGACCACTCTTTCATTTCTCTATATGAATTTCTGAAAACTCTTGCAAACTCTTATCTAGATAGTATTATCTTTACTAGTAGTAGGAAAAGAAAAATTATGGTAATATTAAAAATTGGCATTATGAAGATACAATATACAATACCAGACACACAAAAAAAAGATTTTTTATACTATGTAAGTAGTAGAAATTAGACAAAAGTTATTTTCTTTATCTATATTGATGGATGTAGCCGTTACTACATAGTAGCAGATACAATAAGTTTATTGTATAAGTTTGAAAATGTCCTTATAGGACGAAACTGCAGTAACGTTAGTTACAAATAAAAATGGTAAAAAACAGAAAGGTTCATCTCTCATTTTTCATGATTTTATTCATCCTATATTCTATATGAATTTCCACAAAATAAATAGGTCAGCAATCGAACAAATTATATGAACTTGGTATATGAGCTTGGTAAATAATAACAATATTAATACGTCTTTATACACCATAAAAAGTACAATTAAACAGGCAAAAAGAAGTATAGCAATAATTAAATAACAATAACAAAAAAAGTCGTGATACTGCGATTACAAGATCAAGTNGCAATAATTAAATAACAATAACAAAAAAAGTCGTGATACTGCGATTACAAGATCAAGTAAATGCTGTAGAAAATTCCTTTTTGTATCGCCAAGGTCAGTAATGGACAAGAGACTTGACAATTAGATGAGTTATCTGTATTTCAAGCGGAAATTTATGCTATTGAATTGTGTGCAGAGAGATTGGGAGAATCCAACCTCACATACAAGTCAATAAAAATATTCTCGGACAGCCAATCGGCGTTGGAAGCTCTTGGTTCCTACCGAGCAACGTCTAAATTGGTAGCTAATTGCCAAAAACGACTCTCCTCGATAGGAAGACTTAACAGATTGCCTCTGGTCTGGATTCCTGGCCATACTGGCCTGGAAGGCAATGAGGCTGCTGACTCTTTTGCAAAGGAGGGTGCTACAAGCAGCTTCATCGAAGCAGAACCTGGATGGCAAAAAGATTAATGGACTTCTGGCATAATCTTCCAGGACTGGCTCACTCCAAGGCGTTTATTCACCCTTAGAAGATTGATACCAAATAGTTGTTGGACTACAGTAGGAATAAACTACGGTGTCTAACAGGGCTTCTTACAGTTCACCCTCATTTGAATCATCAAATGATGGGACTCGGACTGTCGGAAGACAGTGTGTGATATCGGTAGAGCATCTGATACAACTCCTCTAGAAGTACAAAAACAAATTCTCATCATCTACAGCTTTAAAATGATCATCGGTAATTGACCAAGATGGTATTATGATTGTAAGTTTTGGAAATTTTGCTTAATAAAGTACATAAAGAGAAATATTGCAATAAAAATAAAAAGTTGAACACATAAAAGGAAATAATACAAAATTATTATTGGCTAGCTAAATAATCATTTGATGCTTACAGATAATATATTATGGGTATTTCAATGAACTTGCTTGGTTCAAGTATTCCATTAGATTGTAGAAATATTTCTCGAGGAGAAAGTTTTTTATGACTATCTTGAATTTGTTAAATTCCTATGCTTTTCCTGATTTATCGAAAACATACATATTCAGGTTATATAAAATCGAAAAATGTTAATACAGTCAAGCTGCTGGAAAATAATGCCATCAAATCAAAAGACATATAGATAAATACTATTCTGATCACTTGTGATGCACTGTTTGGAACCTTTGGTGTAGTAATGAATATTACTGGATTTTTTTTCACAACACAAAACTGTTATTACAATACCTCGACACGTGTTTCGATCACCAAGTGATCATCTTCAAGAGGAAGATTAAACTAATCATACTTACAAAGTTATCCCTATTTATACCATAGATACCTGTTCCAGGTACCTGCTTCTCAAATTAATTTTACAATTTCCCTTATCTACTTGTCTTGAATTAATTTTACAATATGTCCTTATATAATAGTCAGGCAAATCTAATAATTCTAATATATTATAAGCTATATAACATTAATTTCACATATTGCCTTATCTACTAGACTAATATACATTTTACAATGTGTCCTTATGTAATAGTAAGGTGAATCTAATAATGGAAATATTATAAGCCATATAAAATTAATTCCACAAATTGCCTTATCTACTAGTCTTAAATTAATTTTGCAATGTGTCCTTATGTAATAGTTAGGTAAATCTATTAATAAAATATCATTTCAACAAGCTAATACTATTAGGTATTGGTCGACCATCTTTATTCATAATATTATGTTAACTTATTTCTACACTCTCATAGGCATCTAGATGCCTGTT